GTTTAAACTCATGCCAGGCGCATGTGTGTGTGTGCCCAAGATCCCGAGAGGAGAATGGAGGAGAAGGGATTGCGGTGTAGCCATCCCCCCTGGGGGGTGTTTTCTCGCTTTCTGTCTCTCTGTCTCTCTCTGTCTGGTGAGCGCACGCACCCTATAGCAAAAAAAAATAAAAATAAAAAAATAAACTCTCCCAAAAAAGCTTTCAGATTTTGTTTATCTGAGAATGTTCTTGTCTTTCCTTCCCATATGAAGGATAATCTTTCTGGGTATAGTATCCATAGTATCCATGGTTGCAATTGCTTTTCCCTTAACACTTTGAATATATTTTCCCATTCTTTCCTCGCTCACATTGTTTCAGATGAGAGATCTGCTGTCAGCCTGATGGGATATCCTTTGTAGGTAACTTGCCATTTCTTAGTAGCTTGTCTTAGTAGCTTGTCTTTGTCTGTGGTTTTGGTCATTCTGGCTATAATGTGTCTTGGAGAAGATCGTCTTGGGTTCATTCTATCTGGGGTCCTTTGTATTTCTTGCAACTGGATCTTTGAATGCTTCTCTAGGTTTGGAAAGTTTTCTTGCAGGATTTCATGAAATAGATTTTCAATGCCCTTATGAGTCTCTTCCCCTTCTGGGATGCCTATTTGGCCATTTGATAGTATCTAGTATTTCTTGTATAGTATTCTCATGTTTTTGGACAATTTTCTCAGTCTTCATGGTGGATTTTTCTAGGCCAATAATTTTATCTTCTACAACTGAGATTCAATTTTCAGTGTGATCTAGTCTGCATTGAATACTTTCAAAGGAGGTTTTGACTTCCTGTATTATAGTCTTCATCTCTAACAGGTCCATTTGATTCTTTTTTAAAATGTGTAATTCCCCTTTTAGATCTTGCAAGAATTTCCTCCTGAAGCTCATCGGCTTCTTTCCCCTGCTTCTTCAGCAACTCATTGTCTCTCTTCTCTTCAATCTCTGTGAGCTTTGTCACCTAAATTTTATATTCTTATAAATTATTAAAATTAGTTTCTCACAAATATAGAATCTACAAAGTTTAGTAAAATAGAATAATACTTTAAAAACTTAACTTCTTCTCCCATTGTCCTGTCTTAGTGAAGGGTAATTCCTTTTACTTCAAGACTGGTCCAGAAGCCTGGGAGTCGGTCTGGATGCCACCTGTGCTCTCATCTTCCACATCCAGCTAGTCGCCAAGTGGGATTTCCTACATAGACTGCCAATCTGACTTCTGTCTGTTTTGGCTGCCAGAGTTAAGTCTGCCATGTTGCTTCCTTTTGAAGCCCTTTGCTTCAAGCCCTTCTC